CAACCACAATATTATTATTATAATGTAATTGAAACCAAACTTTCATTCAATTTATTAATTAACATTTACAACTAAATTTAATAACTGATATGATATTCTTTGGGCAAAAATACATTAATGAAGAATTCTTAAAATCAAAAATTATACATAGAATATAATGAGTTATAAGAATCTAATTGGTATTTTTGGGAACAGATATCAAATATCAAAGAAAGATATCAAATTCAAAGAAAGAATGGACAAATAGATTTATCTTATAGCAAGCAGTAACATTAAAACTTTTTAAGATAAAATAAGACATTTATATAATATTAATATTTTTAGTTAATTCTAAAAAATTTATTGTTTAATAGGGTTAAACTCATATATAGAGAAGAATAATTGATACTTTTTTAACATTATCCATTATGTTTATGAATATAACAATAACAATTTAGGGTAATTTCTTTATTTCATAAGGAATTAATTTAATTTTAAAATTGTACAAGTTGATAGTTGATGAGCTCATTTGAAAATAATATATTTTATGAAGTCTCAGTGATCTATAACTAGTAATAGTTGAAAGTAGCTTCTTTGAATTTATGTAAGAATTCACAAAGAGCTTGAGTTAGTCAGCATTTAAGATGATTAGATGGTTGTTAGAGAAAGATATAATAATTATCTCGTTAAATCTTGATCCTTTTAAGGTATATAATACTTATTGATGATTAATATATATTTTCAGTCTTTTTTATATCTGATACTTTTAATATTAATTGAAAATAATATTATGAAAATATTATCAAGAATAGAGTAGAGTAATTTTAATGTTATAATTTAGATTATTTTTAGGATTAGGTTTATTCTTTTTTATTTTTGAAATGTTATCTTTATTATTAATTGAATCTATTCTTTTTTATATACTAAAAAATCCAAATTTTACAAAACTATTAATTATCATTTTTAAGACTTAATCTGTTTACTCTGTTTAGATTATAAATTTAATAGTATTGTATATCTATATATATTAATTTATAACTGTTGTTTCTGACATCTCAATATTTACCAAATATTTAAATAGCATTTAACTAAAATGGTTTAATAACTTGTTTGAAATGTACTTATCAATCTTAAGAATATGAAGATCAAGAATTGAAACAAAAGAAACATAGAAAATGATTAAAATTGTGATTGTAATCTTTTTAATGAATAGTCAAATTCACTTTTGCTTTAAGTCCTTTAAAAAGCAACTGCCTTTGGATTTAAACAATAGTTTTAAATCTTTCCCTTGATGATTAATGAATTCTCCTTATAGGATAAGTGTTCCTGATGCTTCTAATAAAGGATTCTAACATATTCTAAGTATTGTGCGATCAAGATTAACTAAATAATGATTAATAATAAATACCATTTGGCAAGGAGCTATTTTGAAAAGATATATTAAACTAGGCAAGCAAATCTTTATAGCTACTATCTGATTGAAGTATTTCCTTTGATGTTTTTACATTCCAAAGACGGATAGAGTTATCATCACTACCAGATGCTAATGTAGTACCATC